TTGAAGATCACCCAGTCCCACCCCCCTGCCCTGGGCAGGGCCACCTCCCCCCAGCCCAGGTTGCTCCAAGCCCCGTCCAACCTGGCCTTGAACACCTCCAGGGATGGGGCAGCCACAGCTTCTCGGGGCAATTGGTTCCAGTGTCTCACCACCCTCACAGTCAAGAATTTCTTCCTAATATCTAATTTAAATCTCCCCTCTTCCAGTTTGAAGCCATTCCCCCTTGTCCCATCAAAGAAGATGGAAGTTGTGCCCAAATGGGGGGGAAAAAAAGGACTTTATTTCCAGGAGGTGAGAGGTGGCAACGCCGCGCGGGGTCTTGGATGACCCCGGGTCGGTGCAGAACCTGTTCACAAACGCAGGGATGCGGGGCTGCGCGCTTGTCATCAAGCAAGAAGAGGAGAGTCTGCAGTAAATGCAGCTTTTTCCATGCCCGAAATAAAGAGTTTCATCCCGAGTTTGTCCCAACACACGCAAGTGCCCGTACGTCACCCTCCATAGCGCTGGCTGTACAAGAACATGCGGTACAAAGGCTGTATCGGCGCTGTGATTTAAAAATATTGAAGATTGCTTCGGTTTGGCTTAATTGCGGTGACAACTTTCAGACTACTAAAATAATTAAACCTGCTAAAATTTATTAGGGCCCTGAGGACGTTTTAGAGGGAGCGCTAGCCTAGTCTGGAGCTTTAATGCCTCGGCTACATTTAATGTAATTTTTATCAATAACCAAGCAGCTCATAATATTACAGCTCCGCCGAAATCTTCACGCTGTGAAATCTAATTCATCTAACAGGCGAATCCATCGCTTACACAGAGCCTACCTCGAACGCCGTAAAACTTCCAAACCCACAGATTTGTCTCCCAACAAAAACCGCACGGAGGGGCCCCTCGGATCAATGGCGGAGTCCCTCTGATTCGGGCACCGCCGGCTGAATATTTCCTCCAACTTTGCTTTTGTTCTTCTGGGTAGAGGCCCACAAGGAAAAGAGCTTGTTTTCACTCGCAGCCTCATCAATACCTAAATCCTGGTGAACAAGTGACACTGAGAAGCTGTAATCAATAGCTCCCTGTGCGTTTTTTCTTCTGGTCAAATGGTTCAGCGCTACTGACAGCCCTGACACTCAGAACATGATGCTAAATCTTTATCAACAGCCATCTGGGTGACTGGCAGAACAAGACTCGGGCGGTCATTAACGCTCGTGGCAATCTGTGAATAAACTAACTCCTCGCTAACGCGTTTGTTTAGGGAAAAAAAAAAAAAAAAAAAAGTGGGGAAAAAACCTCCCCGCACAAGGCATCGATCGCCTCTGAACTGCGTTTAGCGAATCCCGTCGGAGGCTGGAGAGGAGCGGTGCTCTGCTCGTTAAGAGTCATCAATTTGAGGCAAAGGGGATCCCCTCCCTGTCCCGTTACTGTGCTGAGGGGATGGAGACCTCCAGAAACCGCCCGACTCTCCAACCCGGCTCTGCCAGGCTGGAATGGGAACAGCTGAAATATCGAGTTGTAACACACAACCAGAAGCACAACCGGTTAAAGAACCACCTTCCAGTTGGCTCCTGTCCAGTGGCTCTTTCTCCCCCTCTTCCCCCGCAGCACCCGGGTCCCGGGCTATTGTCAGCCGCCGCAGGAATTAACACACAAGTAGTTTTAGGTCCCCGTGACGTTTCACATCCATACTTCAAAATCTTCTCATAAAGGCCCTTCCAATCTCCAATGGATAAAACATTTTGGCTGAATAATACCCCCGACTTCGGGGGGACGGATGGCAGCGCCCCGCCGGACGCTCAGCTGGGCTTTAGCCTCAACGGGAACGCAACCGGAGAGAAGAGAGAAAAAAACAATGTATGCGGCTACGACCGCCGTCACCAGAGCGCCGGAGACGTCTTATTTAAGGCACAGAACAGTCATTTAGGATGGCCTTGGACTAATCAGCCCAACATTCGCCATTTCCCATGAGTCTCTGTGATTTCTTTTTGATCCTCCTATAGTAGTCTAATGAGATTTTTAATTGAACTTTATGGGTTCCCTTTGAGGACCACAGACCTCGCAATCAATCTGAAGCGCAGTAAACTATTTGAAGTTTTTCTTGCGAAAGGTGAGCCATCCCCGCCATGTCCTTGGCATAAATTGAGGCAAAGATGTCGCATCTTTCAGCTGCTGCTGGCACCTATTCCACCTTCTCATAAAGTTGAAGGTCACCGTATGAATTATGTGAAGCGAGCAAACTACAAAGGGAAACCTGCGGAATGCGCACTACCCAAATTAAAGCCCGGCCCCTCATCTGTAGAAGGGAGAAATGTTCTGGTATGTTGCGGAAAAAGGTGAGATGCTGAATTTTAGCAACGCGTTTGAGTAACAAAGCAATGCCAGGCTTGGTTTTACTTCAAATGTTCATTTTTACTGTTATTACTGTCCTCATTAAATCACGTTTATGATGCAGTCATCATGTTTATAATTTAGTCCTTTAATCAAAGGAAGCATCTCAAGGTGCAAACATATTCTGATTTTGCTGCTCCCACACCAATCACTAATGGAAGTATTCCCTTTTATTTCGCATTCGCGACGAAAGCGGTCACTAGTTTCAGCTTCTCTCCTGCGAACAAAAATCACTAATCTTCTGCTTAACAAAACATCACATCACTGCTGCAATAATGTGGAAGCAATCGCTCCTCCAACCCCGTATTCGTACCCTAATGCTGGGGTTGGCGGTGGAGCAGTCCTTAACGCCACAGCTCTTCCCATCCCGCGCCCATACGTTAATGACGCCACCGTCCAGATGACGTGTTCCGCTTAATGAGCTGTTTAGTTAGATTCAAAGCCCAATATCCCATCTGATACACGGACTGCACGCATGTTTATACGCGCACGAGGTTCGTGGGTATCCTACAATTCTCCCCAGGTAGCAGAACTGTACCGTAGAAACTCACGTACCGTCTAATGGGTTTAAGCTTCTAAGCTCAGTAAAGAAGTACACCCTGATATTTTAAGCGTTTATCAGATTTTCCTGTGAAACAGTTCATATAAGCAGTATAAAGCTGCGTTTCGTCAATAGGCTCTATTGTACTTGACAATACAAACTATTTTAATATGATGGAATGCTTTCCAATATAATATGGTGTACATTAAGATAAGGCAATGCGATGCAAACCTACAGGAAACAGTTCTCAAAGAATAACAATACAGTGTTGTGCAAAAGGAGATGTAATTGCTATCGCCTAGAAATGTACCCGGCTTTGCCCTCAGGCTGCAGTGGAGCAGCAGCATCCAAAGTAGCGGTAACAGCAGGTTGTGGTGTGAAAATTCCTGCTTTTTCCCCTGTGAGGAAGGATGAAAATAGTTCTGAAAATACACAGCAAAGCTACTGCCATTTTTTTTTTTTTTCAAACGGGGTCCTATCTTATTATTGTTATTTGCCATCCCATACTACGGCTGCAGCGCGCTCTGTCCCCAGCAGAAAATTTTTAAGCACGTTATAGATAATAATGTATAGCTTTAGGGAAAAAGAGCTGGATTAATATCATACGGCCCCGATATTTCACAATGGAAAGCTGACGATAAAAAATAATCAGTGCTGTGATGACAGCCCTGCCCATTCCAAAACACATTTTTATCACTACACATCTCCTGTAGTTAATCTGCAATTTTCATGCATATTCCACGTGCGAACACACACACACCGAGTCCTTCCGTACTTCAATCACAGCACTTATTCACTGTGTTTCTTATATTTCCCATATACATCTTTACCCGGTCCTTCCGACCGAGGAGCCAAAAAATGCAGGTTGAGTATGCATAATATGCAGGTTGATTTTGTGAATGAGGTGAAATATAAAGATAATATGTGGCACTGCAAAAAAAAAAAAACACCCCTCACCTTTATGCATCTACACATGAAGCCACCGGCTCTTGTGAAAACAGATTTTCTAACCCACTTCGCAACTACACGTCGCAGTCTCATATGTACCTTATTAAAGAAACTACTGAGAGGACTGAATGTATAAACAACGCAGGAGGTCAAAGATTACGGCAGGTGTAACGCTGGAGAGAAGGAGCGGAATTCGGGTATGGACAAACACGTGTTGCTCAAGGCAAGTGGTAATGAGGGAAAACATGCTAAAGAATAGCCAAAAGGCTCCAGCGATATTAATAGAAATCAAAGTTGGGTTTTTTTTTTTGTTTTGTTTTTAAAGGCAAGTGGCAAGGGAAGGAAGGTGTGAGGGCGGCCGTAGCGGCGTTCCCTTCGCCAGCTCTTCTCTTTGCTTCCCACAGGGACCACACCAACCCCCCCAGCACCAGCCCCACGCCAACCCCTGTGGGTCACCCGCAGAAATACGCCTGGAAATCTACACCTGGGCTGCTACAGGGGAAAAGATAATTACTGGGAAGGCAGACAAAGAGGCCAATTATTAAAACAGACTGTTTTTCCAAAATCCACCGGCCCAACCTAGAGCGCTACGCCCTCAGTTCCTCCAATTTCGGGCAAGTCACCTACAGCCCATGGAGAAATGCCAGTTATGGCTGGTCTGGAGCACATGGGGAAAAAAACACTGATAATCAGGGATTTGATTCGAACGTGTGTCTACATGATTTAAAACCTCTCCCACTTTTCCGGAAACCCATCCGTGCCAGAGAGGATGGACTGCCGTTAACGCAACCAAGGCTACTCATACCCTGTCAAAGTGAGGTCGGTGTCGGGGGATGGAAGACTTCCCTCACCTAAGAATATTCAAGAAACTTTGTGAACAACGAAATGTGTAGAGGCTGACGAATGAAAAGCAGCGCAGTGTTTCTTTTTCAAATCTATCGCCGTAAATGGTAGGGAATAAATCACATTAAACTGGGTTGTGCATTATTGCTGATTAAAAACACTTACTGACCTTATTACTCATGGTAGACCAGTTTTCATAGCAGATAAATTTAATCTAATGACATTTAGCCCGCAAAGCTCTCTAAATCCACCATCTTCCATCAACTTTATTTAAAAGTTGACGTGAACTTACAGGATTGCTCCTCATCGCTCCTCCCACCGCTCTCGCCGCTCGGCTGTTGCCCGCGAGCTCCGCTAATTGCTTGTAGGAAACGGCCTCTCCGAACTTGACGTCTCTCAACAGGGTCCACAACACTTGTCCGGTGAACGAATCTGCCAAGAAGAGGAAGCGAGAGCTGTTCGTACGCCTGGCTGAAAAACCCGAGACGAACTATTCAAAAAGCCCAACATAAGGCAGAGCCTCACCAGCAGCTTTCTCATTTAAATTTATCAGCCCCCATGCACTGTCCTGTTATGGTATCCCGTATTACTACGTTTAAACACACGATTATTAGAAAGAGCGCTTGAAGTAACCGATCACTATAAAAAAAGGATTTAAGGCTTTGATTTCCCTATATTTTTAATTTGCTCCAAGTACAATTATCCTGTTAACTCATACAATGTGGTTTTTCCATTAAATTGGTGGAGTATAAATTAGCATAGAGTCAAATTAAAAAGGGAAGAAATAACCGGCTATACCTATTTCGCAAAGCCCTCGCATCTCCAGCTAATTTCCAACTTCAGCTGGGACGCGCGGCAGAAGAAGCCCTAGAGCCAGCGGACTCGGTATTATCCTGCCTGACTGCATTTTATCGTCCAGACCCCCAAGCTACCGCTCGGCACTGCAGCCCTTACGAAACGGTAAGGACTATATGTGACCTTGAATGTACGGCACATCCTTAATGATACAGGGTGCTGAGAAAAAAAAAAAGAGAGGAAAAAAAAAAAAAGAACGTATCTTCCATTATTTTAATTTTAATTCAACAGCAAATTGCCTCTAAGTGCTCCATTTGCTGAAATAATGAATAAGCAAATGCCCCAGGACCGGCTTGCTGCTGCATCTCAGGGTTCCACCTTCCCAGCCCAGGATTATTTCACAAAAGGAAAAACCCACTGCTGCCTTTGGATTTTAGTTGGGTTGAACGCCCAGTGCTCTTCCAAGGCCCTCGTAAACGCTTTGAAGATCTAACTAGTGAATAGCTTACTGAGAGGAGAGAGCTGGGGAATAAAAAAAAAAAAAAAAGGGAAAGAAAAAAGGAAAAAAAAAAACCAACAAAAAAAAAAAGAAGAGAGACCCCTTCCCCCCAGCCCAGAGCTTCAGTCTCCTGCTTTGGCAAAGAAACAAACTGATTAAAAACATTTTCTTTCTCTAGTTGTCAAAAAAGGCATTGATTACGCTACGTAGGAACATAGCGAAATGTGGTTTTGTTCTTAAAGGAAACCCATACACCATTATGTGTGTGTTAAATAATAAAAATCACTTCTTAACTGAAGGGAATGATAATCACTTCATTGAAAAAATCTGTTTAGTCTTTATTATAACATTAAGCAAATTAAACATCAGCATAATCCAGGTGATACGAGAAAAGGGTCATCAAAGAAATTAACTTTGTTGTTCATTAATTTACATGGATTAGTAGAGGGCAAAGAGATAGCAAATCTGCTCTAGTTTTTTATGATATAATTTCAAACTGTACACCATTTGTGGCAGTAGGGTGACTTTGGGGTTAATCAGACTGATTTGTCCTTTTAATTGCTTTCTATTCAAAGAAAATTCATTAGATAATGTTCTCTTCAAAATTCATGAATCAATTTAACTGAAGAAACCACATTAACAGCTTTGGGTTCATTAGCACAAGCAGTTGTGTTACTAGCTGATTGCTAGGAGGGTTTCCTTAGGCAAACAGATTTTGTTTACCGTGATTCCTTCAGAAAGGTTTATTTCGAATCAAGCCGCCGCTTATTATTTTTTTTAACCTCCTTTTTAAGCCGGCGAGATTAGCGTTAACCTCGCCTGCGCGGGGGTCTCGAGGAATCACCGCCTGATGTCATCTTCTACATCAACGGAACACAGTCACTGCACGTCGCCGGGGACCCAGTCCAAAAAATCCCCCCCTTTTTTTTCCCCTTTCCTCTGGTTTTTGGCAGGGGAGGCGGTGGGCTGGCACGCGCCGGGGCTGCGACTTTCCCAAACCTGTCGGAATAGGAGGGGGAGCGGATTCCCCCCCGGCAATGACCCCACCGCGCCAAGCGGTGCCCAAATTATTGAGCACCTTTGAACAGGCGAAGAGAGGGACAGAGATTATCCTCTTGTGACAAGCCGGGGCAGAGATTATCCTCTTTTCAGAGCCACCGCACGCTCTTCAGGGGAGAATATGTACTGTCTCTGCGCCCACATAAACCACTCAAAGTTATAGTTCAAAAGAATGAAATATTTAGCAATCATGCACATCATTTTATAAATGTATCTGAAAACTCGGTTTCATCCTGTAGGGAGCAAATGCATTAATTAGTTTAAGCAGCTCTAAGAGACAGTGCCAAATACTGTTATTAAACTGTCTGCAAGTGTGAGTGCCTGTAAGCACAACCTGCCCAAATTAGATGGCTGAACTTTCACCAATTTTCAGCACGTGCCAACATTTTATGCTGTTAAATATCATTATAAAGCGCTGTAAAAAACGCCTATAAAAATTAACACGGGCGGATTCTCTCGTTACACGACAACACTTCATACGGCCACGAGCTGAGGATGCCCACGTCATTCCAGAGCGGCGGATGCCAGCAGGGTAACGGCTCAACTCACCCACACCACTGGCACGGGAACAGCAGAGGTCTTCTCCTTCCTCTGCTCCCACCTCCACTCTGCACACTCCCTCCGGGTGCCCAGGCTCTTGCCAAGGAACACGCTCTACGGCCAACAACCAGTGTCGCTGGATGCTATTTCTCATTTAAGTCAGATTTTACATCCAAATACACACCTCACCAATTCCCACCGGGAGCTGGAGCTGCACCGTGAAGGCGGGGGTGGAGGTGGACTGAAGGATGGGGAAGGGAAAGAACTGTGACCGAGTTGGGTTTCCAGGTCTCCACAGCCCTGAGGACCTGCTCCCACCTCCAGCTGCGGTGTCCACACACCCAGGGACCACAAAGGTAATTGGGAGGGTTTCACAGAATCACAGCACAGGTTGGGTTGGAAGGGACCTTGAAGATCACCCAGTCCCACCCCCCCTGCCCTGGGCAGGGACACCCTGCCCTAGACTGGACTCGCAAATGGTATGGGAACGAGATAAACACTTGTCTAAATCTCTTTACTGTTTAATTATATTTTGCTCGTTAGGAGGCAGATGAAGGAATGCTTTCCTCTCCTTTTACAATGTCTTGAAGTCCCTGACCATTGGTACTCCATGGTAAAAACCACAATTACTCGCTGCTATTAAAGGATTACTGGGAATATAGATTAGACAGTACGGGGCTGCTGTATCCCCCAAAAGAGTCCAAACGTCTCACGGCAACACAAAGGATTGCTTAAAATCAGGGGTGCTGCAACCACTGAGAAAAGAATATCAGCTTTTACTGTTGCTGTCTTCATGCGTGATATTGATGTATTATTGAGACTGAATGTGCCAAACTGAAAATCATGAAGTTAAACTTTATCGCTATGATTGCTTAAATAGCTGAACCAAAGCAAAGACATTGGCCATTCTGAATGGCTGAGCTTTGTGGATGAAGATGCAAAAATAATCTAATTATTTGAGAGTCTCTATTACTGACTTCATATAAGCCATCACCAACTTTATAGCAAAAAAAAAAAAAAAAGTATTTCTAAAAATAAAAGTGGCAAAAGTGCCAACAAAATCATATTTCAACAGGTAAATAACGGAGGGATTAGACAAGCATTGACCTGAACTGCACCTCTAGTTAGTCCAAGACCTGCGAGAGCGCCTCTGTGCCGTTAGTTTGGACACACAGTTAAAACAAAAAATTCCTCAGCTAACAGCATGGCAATTCTATTTACAAGACAGTCTGAAAGGAAATCCCCCACCTCAAAAGCATCAGCCTAATTTTTTTTTTTTTTACATTTTTGTCAAAAACTTCCTTGCAGAACAAAATCCACTCCCTCATCCGATCTGCTGCTGAGCACAGACACACAACACTCTGTGCAGCTGTTTCTCCTCCCAACGATCACTGTCTCCGCTCACACCAGGAGACTGCTCTCGCTTCCCACTCGCTCTCTGCCCACCCTTGGCCCCAGCAGAGGTCTCTTCCCACCCTTCCAAACCAACCTCTGGAAGTGGTAACTGCCACAGTGATCCTTTCACAGAATCACCCAATCCCAGACTGGTGGGGTTTGGAAGGGCCCTCTGGAGCTCCCCCATCCCACCCCCCGCCAGAGCAGGGGCACCTCCAGCAGTGGCACAAGACGGCGTCCAGGCGGGTTTGGGATGGCTCCAGAGGGGGAGACTCCCCCACCTCTCTGGGCAGCCTGTGCCACTGCTCTGCCGCCCTCACAGCAGAGAAGGCCCTCCTCAGGTGGAGATGGAACTGCCCATGGTCACCTTTGTGCCCGTTCCCTCTTGTCCTGTCACTGGGCACC